TTTTTTTATTTAAATTCTATATTTATTAATTTTTTACTTTAATGATTATCTATTACATAAAGTTATCACTATTTTGAGGGAAACAAAGGAAAACAATGTAAATGAAATGATATTGTATTCTTTCATTTCCTCAACTCCTCTTCTCTCGTTTAGATAAGTGAAAAACTTAAAATAAAAAATAAAGTAAAGGAGTTCTCTCCTTTCTCATTCTCTTTTATTTTTTAAAAATCAAATAAAAGAATTATTTTCTCTCTCCTTCCCCTCAAACCAAACGTACCTAAGGTACACATAAATTTTCTTTAAAATCCTTAATTTAGAAAAAAAAAATTTAATCAACAATTATAGGAGGACAAAGGGAGTAATATTTAATTAAATTTTACAAAGATTTTTTGAATTTGAAATTAGTCTAGAATTGAGTTCTAAATTACTAATAAGAATTTAGTTGAGTGAGCACATGTTGAGTAGAAAAATTTTACATAAAAAATATAACAAAGAAATATGTAATTTAAATATAAAGAGGCTAATCCACTTATTAGCAATTAATTTAGGTTGTGCAAGCATTGTTTTAAACCCACATATAAATTTTCATATGGTATTAGAGTAGGGAATGTTTCTCTTAAACTCATTCTAGAGGTGAGTAGGCATATAAATTGAGAAAATCTTATATTGAACATATAATAAAAAAATATGTTCTTTAAATACAATAAAGTTACTTCACCTGTTATCAAATTCACACATAAAATTTAAATTTTTCATAGCATTAACTAATTTAAAAACTTTAATATAAAGTTAATGTCAAAAGTTTAAATTCCTGCATAGCAATAACTAATTTTCATATGTCAAGAAAAAGGTTTGAGTTCTACACTAATTTTTTAAAGTACCTTTATTTTTTTTATTTATAATCAAAGTATTCTTGGATTAACTTTTGTGCAAGTTGATATTCTTTTCTCTTCATATGATTTTAAAGATGCATCTTTTATATTGGTTTAATAAATTTAAAAATAATTAATCTTCTTAAATATTGATTACAAAACTTGAACTGTATACCCTCTACTCTTTAAAGAGGAGGAAAAAAGAGATTATATTTTTGGGTAGCTTGCGCAGAATAGGTTTAACGTCTGAGGAAGAGAGGAGAAAAAAAAA